GCAGCTTAATCAGTGCAACACAGAGCAGAAATTAATATCTAAAAAGGAGGTGGGGGTAAGGATTTGATGCAATTCTGAGGAAGTGGAAATCTAAACTAACTTAGTTGCTGAAACTGGAAAACAGGTCTTCAAACAAAGCAAAATGTCAGAATCAAGACAGGGAAGCTAACTCCTGCAGCCTTTCACCTATGAAAAGAGAGTTTGGCAAAAACACATTCTGAAAATGTCAATAACCAATCAATCCATTTCAGAGCTGGTTTCCAAGAAAGTTTCCAGCAGACTTTGTGGCCAGCTGACATGCTTTTTTTTACTTAACAGCTGAAAAATTTTGGTTGAGCAGAATTATGAATAGGAAGCACGGGCCCCACTGGGGGACGAGAGGTCAACTTTGCCAGGAGTTCCAGAGACCAGGGGTCAACTTGAAAGCATGACTTGAGAGAGGCAAGCTGCATCTTCAGAAGATTCTCCACAGCTTTTGTTTTTCACACTTCAGCCAGCCAGAAAGTGGAGCCAGGTTGTGGGAGATGAAGAAGCAAACAGCCTTGGCAATAGCTTGACTAGGGTCCCTTGGCTCCCCTTAAACGTATAAAGATAAGAGGAACTCAAGCATAACTGAGAGGGTGGCAGTTGTCCCCCACTTTATGTCAGACATTGTCCAATTAGAAGTCGTCAGCCTGATCCCTGTGGATCGTATCCGGTTTTCAAGACCCCACAAGATATGTCTCTGCCGTCCCCAAAATAAGCTGAAACCATGTTCAAATTGCAATAGCGATAGCCCTTAGGCTTATATACCGCTCCACAGTCCTTTACAATCCTCTCTAAGCAGTTTACAGAGTCAGCAACCTGCCCCTAACAATCTGGGTCCTTCATTTTACCGACCTCAGAAGGATGGAAGACTGAGTCAACCTTGAGTCGGTCAGGATCGAACTGCTGGCGGTGGGCAGAGTCAGCCTGCAATATTGCCTTCTAACCACCACTGCGCCACCATGGCTCTTACTGCCATTATCCCATGAGATCTCTTTGAGGACAGGCAAAAGCATGTGAGATTTCCATGATTTGGGGTGACAGGAGCATCCTCAACACACAGTGGCCTCTGGAATCGTTCCTGGTTATGCTCAGTGCATGAAAGCTGCCTCCATCCTTATTCCCAATGCCAAGGTACGCTTCAGACACGGCACTGATGATGTTGCACCAAAACCAGGAAGGAGAAGTTCTCTCCAGCTTTGAGATACCGAGAAATGGTGAGGTTCTTGATCAAGTCCCATGGACCAACTGGCCACCAGGGTGGCTCAGCCTTTGACCCCTCTCCCTTATGTGGCACAACGCGGAAAGCTGGTACGGTAGTAGCAATCTGTCACAGGCAAAGTCATGCAGACGTTAGTAGGAAAGACACCCATCCCAACACCAAACGTAAAGTACCTTGGAATAAGCTACTTGGAAGTCTCAAATGCAGATAGGTCTTCTGCCTTGGGCTTGAGGCTAAAACCGGCAACGATAAGAAACAGAACACAGAAAGGTCCTCTGTGAATTCAAGAGAGCATCAATGTCCCCACTATGTTTTGTGCTTAACCCTGCGGGATGCCGGGAGGTTTTCTTCCGATTCAGGGGGTGAGTGAGGCCATACAAATTTATGACGGTGTGTTGGATATGTTTGTCGCCTTGACGGATTTTTTTGGGTAAAAAATAATAAAGGCGGGCTACAAAAAAAAAAAAAATCTAGCCAATCACTGGAGGAAGCCAGGGCTGAAATTGAAGAGCTATCCAGTTGCCCATTGCAGCTGGTTATGAGAAGGAAAGAACATGCAACAGAGCGCAAGGTTTCTCAAAATGTGCCCGTCAGAAGTGGGTTTCATTAGGAAATATGGGGCGTGCGTGGTTTTTACGAGTGGAATGAGTGCCTTAAGATCAGCCAGGCTTAAGACACCCCCTTTTAAGCCCCATTTGTCATAGATGAGCTTTTGCAGAAGATCCGTCTTTGATAAAGGTGGGACATTACTTGCATTGTTTAAGCCCGATTTCTCCTCCCTTCGCTTCGTCCCTTTTGCCTGGTGCATCGTGTCCTTAAGACGATAAGCCTGAAGGGCAGGGAAAGTCTCATTGCTAATATGCTTTCTGAGCTCTTTGACGCAAACGTCACAATTTAAAAATATTTTAAAATCCAGTAAAGAAATTAACTGTACTCCTCAGTTTTCAACAGGAGGATATTGGCCCAATCGAGGTGGCGGCAGAGTGACCTCTGCCTTGGTAACATTATTTTCTTAATGTCTGTCTGTTTTTCTCTGTGTGTCTTTCTCTCCTATCTATCTCTTCTATCTCTCTGTCTCATCTCTCCTCTCTGTCTTTCTCTCTCTTCTCTCTCTCATCTCTTTCTGTCTTTCCTATTTCTCTCTCTCTCTCTCTCTCTCTCTCTCTCTCTCTCTCTCTCTTTCACACACACACACACACACACACACACACACACACACACACACACAGAAAACATCCAACAAAGCATACTTATACATGCACATACCAATTAAAAGGCAGAAGAAAAATTGGCATATATATCTTCCTTTATATCTGCATGACAATACAGTCTGCTAATATCTCCACTCCGGCAAATAAACCATCCAGTGACCTCTTTTGCAGGGGTCATCTGGCCATAATTGCAAGGAAAAATCAGATGAAAAACCTCTGTTCCCGGTTATGAAAAGGCGGAGATTGTGGGCCTGACCTACATCACTCGACTCTGGGGACAATACATGAAATATCAATAAGCTACATCATGAGCCCCAAGCTCTTTAGAGAGGAAAATGGTTCTTCTTCTAAAAAAAAAAAAAAAAGAAAGAAAGCGTAATTCTTCTTTTTGATATATAACAATTTGGAATCTAATCAGCATGCCCAACCTTTTTGCTTTTGGAACAGGGTGTGCTTGCTGGGCGGCTCATGAAAGACGTCTCTGTATTCCACAAGCTTCGGCGATAACAGGTAAGTGACACCACTGCTCCCACCACACTCCTTAGCTCCATTTCTGTCATCACAGAGGCAGAACGAGAGCTGGGATTTGCAGCTAAGTTGCCATCTCATCCAAGCCAGCATTCCCTCACACTTCTGGGTGGCCTCAAGACAGGAGGAGCAAAAAGAGAAATGGGGAAGGCAGGCACAGGAGAAGGGATCAGCTGGTCTGCCCCTCCAGAGTGTCCTCAAAACCAAGCTGTTTTTCGAATCCTCGGCTATTCTCTTTTCCTTGGGAAGGTAAACAAATGGAGGTATTTACCACAACTGGTGAGGGGAAAACAAACACGGCCCTTCCTTTTCTAGCAATATAGAAAGGGTTCAGTCTCCTCCCACGGGGACCCTCCTGTGAATTGTATCCCTGCTTCTCTTCATCTTTCTCTAGAGCTGTCATTCACAGGATCTGTCTCCACTGCCCTCCTGAAGCAAGAAAGGTTTTGCTCTGGCGGACTATTTTGTACTCAGATCAACAGCTTGGACAGGAGGGGAGGGGAGGGGAGAAGAGAGGAGGAGAGGAGAGGAAAAGAGGAGAGGAAAAGAGGAGAGAAGGGGACAGAAGGGAAGGGAAGGGAAGGGAAGGGAAGGGAAGGGAAGAGAAGAAAAGAGAAGAGAAGAGAAGAGAAGAGAAGAGAAGAGGTGTCCACTGACTAGTTGCTAAACCCAGCTTGCCTGCTGGGTTTTTTCTGCATGAGAAAGGTTCAAAAATGGCTTTCTGAAATGCTGTTTTTAATCTATGTAGAGATTGTTCTTCTCATCAAAGGTCATGGCACTCACCAGTCGTTTGCAGTCTGAACATCCCCCCCCCCAAAAGCCCATTTTTTTCTGACACGGAAAGGTGCTTGGGTTAATTCAAGAAAATTCAGAGCAGGAAGGAACCAGGAATCTTCTAGGGAGGGATTGTGTTGTGATCTTGTAAAGGCACATTTGGAGGGCAATGTCTGTTCGAGAAAATCCCTCTGTGAGAGGGAGCTTAAGGCTTCCTTCGATTTCACTAGCCAAGCTGCCTATCACCCTGGGGGCTTTTGACAACATTTAAAAAAGACCACACAAGAGTGAAGTCGGTGAAGGAAGGTTCCAGATGCCATTCTCTGCTAGCAGGAGAGGCACCTCCACATTGTGTTCCTCAGTCTTGGCCACTTTAAGATGGACGGACTTCATCTCTCCCAGAATTCTTCAGCCAGCAAGAATTCTGGGAACTGAAGTCCACAAAACATGACAGCTGGGGGAATTCTGAGAGTTGAGGTCCACAAGTCTTAAATCCCTGACCTATCAAGGACTTGCCATATCAAACGAGAAGAAGAAACGAGATCCTGGGACTGTTGAGGATGCTGGCTGGAGAAATGAAAGCAGGTAGTGGAAACAGGTAAATTCAAGCTTGTGTAAGGCAATTCACCCGTCATTGAAAGCCAGATGTCTGGCCAAGGAAATGAGTGTGTAAGTTAAAATGAGGGCACAGCGCTTATTTTATTACATTTATTTTATCCCAGATCACATAAAGATTCTAGTTCTTCTAAGTAGAGCCGAAAGGAAATTAGAAAAAAGAGTTCCACCGAGCGTGGTGTGCATGTTCTCCATGAATTCATAAAGAGCTGAACAAGATCAACACCTTCAAGATGCCTGGTCAGTATCAAAGATGCTTTTCCTAAAGGCAACTGGACGTTCTTGGGGTTTTTTTCCCCCCTTGAAAAGTTATTGCTTCTCCTGCAAGAAGCTTCTTGAATGAGAAGCGGAAGATTTTCAAGAAAGAAACCTAAGAAGTTGCCTTCTCGAAGAGCACCTGACCTGGAGGACTGAGAATCTCCTTATACCTGGTCAACGTTCCTCATGAATGGATGGTCAAAGACCCAGAGGAGACAGAAAGGAGCGTGCTTGCCCAATAGGTGGGACTCTTAAAACCCTAAGGCTAGTCAGAATTGCCTCCTTCTCATGGGCAACTCTCAACATTCCCAGCTAGCATGAAAGGGGATTCCCACCCAGCCATTTCAAGATGGCAAAAGAGCAACTACCTTCTTAATGGTGTTGTGTTTGCTATTCCCCCGGTCGTGGTTCTCACTGTGCAGGATGTCCATGGTGGTCTCCCTCTCCTTCAATTTCAGAGCTTCGATCTCGGTCTTCAGCTCGTTCAGCTGCTCCTGGAGATGTTTGCTCTTCTCCATATATTCAACCCTGGACCGAGGCAAAGAATCTGCCGTGAGCTGCCACAGAAGTGCAGACTTTGCCAAAAGAAGGGGCAGAGGTAGAGCACAGAATCAAAGGGACCTTGGAGGTCTTCTAGTCCAACCCAATGAAATGGGATGCAAGAAAGCCCATCACTTGAAGCTAACATCAAAACCAAGAGCCAGACTTGGTCAAATTTTTTGGCTTTTCAGCTTCCTGTCTAGCCCATTGCTCAAGAGGAAGATGGACGCAGAGCTATTGGGATGAAGCAATAAGAGCACTCACTTTTCCTTCTCGATCTCCATGGACAACCTCTTCATGTCGTTATCCTTGAAGTCGAAGGACAGGCTTTCACTGATCATGCCAAACGTTGACAAGTCTGCGGGCAAGGCGGTCGTACTTGCATTCAGGGGCTGCTGAGGACAAAACAAGAGATGAATCAGCCTTTCAGGCAAACAAACAGTTAATTGACCAGCTTCCCCAGGCGATGCAGAGAAAGCAAGGAAGGAGCAAGGGAGCACCAAGGATGGTTTGTATCTAGTCTCTTTAAAAAAACCTCCAGTGATGCAGCACCCACAACTTCTGGAGACAAGCAGTTCCACTGGTTAATTGTTCTCACTGCCAGGAAATTTCTCCTTAATTCTAGGCTGGATCTTTTTTTGACTAGTTCCCAACAGGAAGGTGAGTTTTTAAAAAATGCAATATGGAAGCATTTGAGCTGGACAATTCCAACTGGCAAATGAGGAGGACAGGTGTGCTGCTAAGCCGGTGCTGGCCCTTATACTTAGAACAAAGGCCAAAGTGTCCCTGACAGCTTGGAGAAAAAGATCTTGTCAGGCAAAGCTCTTTCAAGCTAAGTGAATGCACCCAGCCAGTTTGTCCTACGAGGGGAAGTTCACACGGAACTGCTGGCTAACATCCTGTTTGAGAAATTGGCTGGCTGGCTCACCTATTAGGAAGAGAAATTGCTCGCGTGGCTGGCCCCGTGAACAGAGCATCCCGACGTGCTCTGTGCCAGCTGCTAGAACTACGACTCAGAGGGAACATGGCAGCCACAGAGAGAGGTTTCTGAAAATGTCAGAAGACCAGGAGATGCGATTCTTTTAAGAGAGCAATTATGGGATGAATGCAGCTGGCGAGATGGGGGTCAATGACTGCCCTCCGATCTTCCTCTTAATTATGCAAAAAATAGACTTGCCGTGCTTGCTGATCAGCTCCCAGTGATACAATGGGCTAGCTGCAAAACCCCACAACACAACCTACTATATGGAGCAGATGTCTATGGAGATGCTCAGTCTATCCAGGTCATGGTTGCCCCAAAGGTGCTTTTTCGGGAGGCAACTGGACTTTCTTGTTTTTTCTATGAAGACGTTTCGCTTCTCATCCAAGAAGCTTCTTCAATTTCCCCACCATCCGGTCAGAGCTGAAGAAGCTTCTTGGATGCGAAGCGAAACGTCTTCAAAGAAAAACAAGGAAGTCCAGTTGCCTCGTGAAAAAGCACCTTTGGGACATACGTGGAGCAGAGTTAAACCAACATTACACCACCTTAATGGTACTCAAGCGGCTAGCGGTTTTGCAAAGTGGGATGCATTGAATGGCGCCATTCATTCCTGGTACTGTAGAAACTCATAGCAGAATTTGCCATTATACTCCTGCAAAATTAGCAAGCGCGAGAACAAACACCGATCTCTTATCCATTCTTCCTATATTACTTTCTTTACAGTAATTGTTGCTTTCTTCATCCTCATCATTTTAGCCAGTGTCCATCCAGTGCAGGATGAAGGCTTCTTCCGTATGTTTCCAACCCAGATGTTCCTGAGCTTCCTTTTGCCAAGAACTCGATAAATAGACAAAAATGCCAGATCCAGTCTGAACATCTGGCTGACAGTGCAAAGAACCACAATAAGAGCAAAGCAAAGGTAGTACCAATAGGGATAGGTGCCTTGGGTGCAATCCCAAAACATCTAGAGCACCATATGAACATCATCAGCATTGACAAATAGTCAACTGCAAAAGGCAGCTTTCCTCGGAACAGTAACTTACATCCTGCGACAATTATCTATAAGCCCATCAAACATCCACCCCTGCCTATCCCAGGTTGATGTTGATGACTGCCAAATGCAGTCTAAAAATCTGATCACAGTGCAACCAGCCACAATAAATTAAACCAGTATGTTGCCCGAGTCTCAATGACTCTGGGCAGTTGAATGAATGAATGAATAAGTGTCTTTCTTTAACTCACTCTTCCACGTATTTAACTTTGTTTACCTGTTCTCTGGTCTACCTCCTCTGGACTGGAAAGCTCTCCTTCCTTGCCAGCAGTTACCAAAGAACATTAATTTTATTGCACCCTTATTTTTTACCCTCCTTACTTTCTGCACTAGTCTTTCCTTTCCTATTCAGCTGAGATGTCTTTTATGAGAAAACTAGTCTCTAGGCGACTGCACTCTGGCTGTTTAAACCGAGACCCAGAATGATTCATGCTCCCAGCAAAACAGAACAAACGGAGAGTGGAGCTGCAAAAGGCAACATGAAACTGTTCCACAACCAGGGACTCTGCAGGCTAATAAATACAATAGCTTTCAGGATGGAAAACCATTTTTTTGCTCCTCTTTAAAGTCGGTTGCCTTCCATTTTAATTGGAGATCTCCTAGGTTTGCGACTATAAAAGGGAAAAGGGGATTTAAGGGATCGTCCACATGCTAAAACCATCAAGAACAGATGACTGGATTTCACTAATTCTGAAAATGCCGATTCCGCTTATGTAGCACACAACAGGCAAATCTTATCAGAACCCCCAAGACCATGAAAAGACATCAGAGGGCATCTCCGGTTCGCCTTTTCTTTTAAAGGATGATTTTTACAGCTGTTGCTATCGGCACCTAGAAATTCCAAAACCTGAAGCATCTCCGACAATCAAGAATTTCATTTTAAAAAGGCAATGTAGACTGCAGCAGTACCGTAGACTAACTCACTGCCAGAAGTTTGATCCTGTGTGGCTCAAGGTTGACTCAGCCTTCCATCCTTCCAAGGTCAGTAAAACGAGGACCCAGATTGTTGGGGGACAAGAGGCTGACTCTGTAAACCGCTTAGAGAGGGCTGTAAAGCACTGTGAAGCGGTATATAAGTCTACAGTAAGTGCTATTCTGGCCGTTCTATTTAACTCCCAGAATTCCCTAGCCAACATGGTCCCTGCTAAGAATTTTGGAAGTTAAAGTCCACTCGTCTCAAACAAGAGTTTCTCAAGCTTGGCAACTTTTAAGATAGCTGGCTGGGGAATTCTGGGAGTTGAGATCCACCCATCTTAAAGTTGGCACGGCTGAGAAACAGCGATCTGGAGGATACCCAGGCATCTCCACAAGAATTAAAAGTCTGGCGTCCTCGACAGGAAAAAGAAGGCAGTAATTCAGAATGTTCTTACTGCGTAGGATGACTTGCTGGTAATTTCCAGAAGTTTCTGCTTGGCCCTCCTTTCAGAGTCACGAGCTTCTTGCAAATCCTGCTTGAGTTGATCAGCCTCCTTTGCCCTGCAGGCAGTCGAGAAAAGAAGAATCCAGAGTCAGACCCAGACCAGCACTTACCCTCCCCAACATGCTTCGTCTCTCCGAAGATTAAGCCATGTCACGTCCTATCAATATCATAACGCAAAACCAGTGAAGGGGAGGATTGTTATCTCTCTGGTAGCCGATTCTTAAAAAGTAAAGTTGGAAAACTCTGAGAAAAGACGCTGCAGGTAACAAACAAATCAAATCGGTTTTGGGGAGCAGAACTTTCACTACTCTAAAAGAGGGTGAGTAACTCCTTCCCTGAAGTTAAAGGGATCCAACATTCCTACGTAAGAAATCAAGAGAGGTTAAATCAAGCAGGTCCAAGCTCCCCGAGGTACCACCTTCGTTCAGATTCCTCCGCCATTTTCAGCGCTAGCATCTCGGCCTCCAATATTTTCTGTTCCATCAATCGCTTCTCTTCCTCGGTCCGAATCGCTGTGGCCTTGATCCGTTGCATTTCCTGCTCTGCCTCGGCCGCCTTTTGGGCCAGCAGTTTGGCTTCCTCTTCGGTGATCTGAGCTTTCTCGGCCAGCAAGTCGGCCGTTTCTTCCGATCTCATCTGGGCGAGAAGGATGGAGAGTTAAGACACCCACGACGTCTGACACGTGAGCGGGAGTTTGGACAAACTCCCATAACTGTGGGACGGGAATGAATTCTAAACCTTTAAAATAGAGATAGTTCTTGACTTACAACAGTTCACTTAGTGACCGAAGTTACAACGGCACTGAAAAAAAAGGGACTTTTTTCACACTTATAATTATTAGGGAGTGACCCTAACATTTTGAGAGCATGTATTTTCTTAACAGGGATGTTATTATTTACTATTAATGTTAGTACTATTTTTATTATTATTATTTAATATATCGTAAAAAGTGATGGCTATTGCTGGTCTACGACCGTAATAAAGTTTATTATTATTATTATCACACTTATGACCGGTGCAGCATGATCAAAATTTGGATGCTTGGCAACAGACTCGTACTTGTGACGGTTGCCTCAAACAAGCCATGCACATCCTTCACTAATTATCCTGGATGAAACATCCCTTCCGCAGGAAGATTTTGTGTTCTTCCTAGGTAGGCTGGACCTGTAGGAGCATCTGAAGGACCTACCAGAGCTTCATTCGCCATCGTAGCCTCCTCTTTCAACTGCAAAAGTCTCCTCTCCAACTCATCCCTTGTGCGTTCGGCCTCTTCTCTCATCTGTTTCTCTCGGGCTAAACGCTGGCGCTCCATCTAGAAAAAAGAGAGCGATGGGGGGGAAAGAAGAATTAAAAATAGCAAATAAATGCAGATCAGATTCAATTTACTACGCCTATGGAAATCATACAGTTCAGATATTTGTCTGGCACAATTGGTTCTAATGGCAAAGAATGTTTGTATCTAAGGGTTGAATGGTGAGGTTCTTGGTGCTCTCCAAGCTTGGTGGTTTTCCATTTCTTTACCAAACTAAGCAACTTCATCATAGCACTGATGGCGTTACCTAGTTTGGTAATGAAACATCCGCAAGCAAATAATCAAGCTCAGAGATCACCAAGGAGCCCAGTTCTATTTCTGTAATCCAGATTTAGAAGGTAAATTTTAATAGTTTCACTAAGGAGTTCCGTTAATGAATTTTTGATATAAGGCATGACATTTTCTGCCTGAATGAAGTAAGAATACCTTAAACCTTTCACAAATTTTGCTTATGTTCCAACTTTTCCTTCAACTTTCCAGAGATGCTATCAACTTCTTCCTAGTTAAAATAGAGACTTGGATATTCTATCAGCCAGTTCTGAAAATAAACAGTCCTTTAATAAGTTCGTAAATAGACACTGGATAAGGCACCATCTCGTTCATGAAAGACAAAGAAACGTAAGGTGCCAATGGGCTAGAAAAGGGCGTTTCGACTCGGCAACTTTCCTTGCTTCCACACCAGAAGCTTTTCTCCGTAACCACAGCAACTTCTCCTGTTATTTTTTCTTAAAAAGTTAAAATTGCAGGACGTCCAATGCTGAAGGTTTCACAAGATGGTGAGCTGCCTTTTTCTAAATCACCCAAGAAGACTTATATTCTAGGCTGCTAAGAATGAAAAGAAAAATGCAAGGAGGATTTCAGAGGTCCTTCTTTCTTTGCAACGAGGCACAAACAGGTGGAGAGATGCCAGGGGCCTGCAAAGGAGCCAGTCCCAGCCCCGTTGCCAAATTCATTTGTTCCCAAAGCTTTTGTTCTTCTTCCTATCAACAGAAACAGGCTTCCTTCTTCTGAAAACCATTTGCCAAGTTCTTGGCAATAGTTTGCTCCTCGCGAAGCCCACCTTGAGTTCAAGGAAGGTTTGAAAGCATCTTAGGAGCTTGTCTTGAGTCTCTTTCCCAGCCTGCCAACTTGACTCAAGGTGAACAATTCTCCTTCCTGCAATGTTATCCTGGAACATGTACATATTTGCCTTCATTTGTAATTTCTCCTTCCAGACAAAGCTCAAGAGATGCCTGTGGAAGGGCTCGATTGTCCACAGCAGGAGCCAAAGAGGATCTCAACCTCCAACTCAGCCCTCCTGGAGGGACCTAGAAGGATGCCAGATGCCTGCTGAGCTAAGCCCTAAACCCAGATGGCTTAGGATCCTCACCCTAAGGAAACCCAGTGCTTTAATCGAAGACACCTGTAACGTTTGGGGGCCTCTCTAAGACCCAAGACAATCAGCTGCTGCTTCTCAGGCTCGCTAACAGCTTACCCAAAAGGGGCAATCAATATTCTGCGTAGCACCACACAGATTAGCTGTGTGGGCTTCAGCAAGGAGGAAAGCATGGTAAGCATGATTCATACAATCCAATTTGCAGAGATGCACTCCCTGGCTCCCTGCTGCAGACTGCTCTGTGCTGCATCTGCCAGATGGGATAAAGGAGGCCAAGCCCCGCATTAGCATGCAGGCAGCATGCAGCCGCACATCGCTGCACCGTTCGTTATCGCTTCATTAGGAAAGAGGAGTGCACAACTCCTCCTGCTAGGGTCCCATTTTCCCAGTAACCGATTCCCTGCCTCTGCCACCCACCCACCCACCCTCTCCCAAATCTGGAGAAGAGTAACAGAAAGAGGAGAGGTATTTAGAAAGTGCTCCATAGCACCTGCTTGTGCGTACGTGCGTACAATCAACATCTTCACACCAAAAACAGATGGAAGGGATGTGCGAGCAAAGAGCAGGAAAGAGGGAAACGAGAGTTGGGGCAGAAAACGTCTCCTTCTCCATTTGGGGTACACTTGAGTATGAAAAGCAAGGGTGCACAAGCACCCCCAAATCCAAGCGTTTGCCCAGTTTTTCACGGTGACCTGTTTTGTTTCTTCAATGATCGGTACTTTTTCAAGGAAAAACAAAGTAAAGTCCACTTGCCTTTTGAAAGAACACCTTTGGGACAACCATGATCTAGATGACTGGGAATCTCCATAGGCATTCCATCACATCATGTGTGGACTTCAACTCCCAGGATTCCTCACTGACCATGTGTCAGGCCCAAATCAAGGAAGACCCATGGGGATTCTTCCGAGCCAAATTCTTTGTTACGAATGAAGGCGAATATAGGTGTCCCAGGATAATGTTGCAAGATCCAACCTGAATCGGTCACTGGGGTTCGGTCTTCCAAGCTTTTGGACTCATGCCAGACCCCGTCCTCAGGGAAATTCTCTCTAGCAGGGTGTGTCTCCTCACACACTCTGCTAGAGAGAAGTTGTTGAAAATCTGGCCAGCGAACCCAGGGAAAGGATCCCGCAAGGCAATTAAATCCCCAAAGCTAAAACTTGATTGGATACACCCTCTCAGAGCTGAAGAATCAAAACTGGCTCTGCTTTTGTGAATGCAGACCACCTTTGTTTGATCTGGTAAGATTCTCACCTGCTTCCTGGCTTTCTCCTCCCTGGCCTGGGCTTTCATTTGCTGGACTTCGAGGGAATCGGCCTTCCGCCTCCTCATGAACAAGTCGTGGTTGCCGATGCAGAGCTGAAGGATCTATGGCAGCCAATGAGAAAGGAAGCAAACTGGCTGAGTCCTTGTTAACACCATCACCCCATGTGTGAACAATGCCTTTTCTTAACCCATCCCCGGGAGCTGGGTGACAATGGGTCTGTCCCAAGACTCACAAGAGTAAACAGGTGAAGCCCAAGAACTCTTACGACCAGTCCCTTCACACTGCTAAAGACAACTGAATCAAACTTTAATTCAGTACTGCAAAACTGGATCAGAGGGAAATGCAGATTGCAACGTTCTGAGAACGGACTGTTCCAGGGAATGATGGAATACTGGTTTCTGTCCCAGGCTGTGTCCATCTGCCCACTCGGAGAGGGTCTAAATGCTCTCCAGAAATAAATGTGGGCTATTTTTGTCTTCCCTGCAACGTCCCATTACCAGAAGGGTGTGACTTTGAATCCCCGATGGCTAGATAAGCGATGGGGTCAGTCTCACTTTAGGAAGCTCTGCAGAGGAGAGACTAAAAATGAGACTTTTCCAGATAGATACAGGTGGTCCTCGACTTACGACCGCAACCGAGCCCAACATTTCTGTCTCTAAGCAAGACAATTAAGTGAATTTTGCCCCATTTTACGACCTTTCTGGCCACAGTTGTTAAGTAAATCACTGCAGTTGTTAAGTGAGCAACACAGTTGTTAAGTCAATCGGGCTTCCCCATTGACATTGCTTGTCAGAAGGCCGCAAAAGGGGATCATGTGACCCCAGGACACGGCAACCGTCATAAATACGAGTCAGTTGCCGAGCGTCTGAACTCTGATCACGTGACCATTGGGGATGCTGCAACCTGTGAAAAATGGTCGTGTGTCATTTTTTTACAGGGCCGTTGTTAACTCTGAACCGTCACTAAACGAACAAGTTGTAAGTCGAGGACTTTGGGATTTTATTTTATTTTTATTTTATTGCATAGAATTGGTGTGTGCTCAATGCTCAGGTCCTTTTTTCCCACTGGGAGGGAGGAACCATCAATTCTTGGAGATTTTTCTCAACGTGCAGATATATTTAAAGAAGACTTTCCAGACCTTCCCCCCCCCCCCGCCCCCAGATCTAATCCTGGATTCTTTTTCCTGAATTGTTAGTTTCTCCCTTTTCAAGCTAAATTTAGAATTCGCTCAAGTGAGGAGCACCAGTGAATTCCCCAAGCCGGTTTCTGCTGGCAAGAGAGGCAGGAGGATGGATTTAAGATGATGTTCCGATTAAACCTTGCAGCTCCTGCTACTGTGATGCAAACTGCACAGACCCCCCCCCCCAAAAAAAGAGGGTAAAACTAGCCATCTCTCCTGAGATGGGGCAAAGCCTCCTCAATCCATCAACAGGCCAGGCGCTGCCAAAACTTCAGCTAAAACAGGCACAGGCTTCAAAGAAAAGTTCACCAGTGGGACTCTGACCACGCTAACTAGATGCAGCCAGGAGCCAAGAGCGGCTATTAGGAATCTTTCATCCAAAAGGCATGTTGTTTTCCCAGCGCTCCAAAGAGGCCAATTTCGGAAAGGATTCTCAAACAAAGCCCTGCTGCTTGAACCAACAGTGAATTATTCCTCGTCAAGTTGGCATTGTGCTCAAGATTTAGAGCCACTTACCAAAATCCAAACAGACCCCGTCCTGTCCTCTCTCCCAAATCCGCCAGAAAAATAATATGCCTTGCAAGAGAGGTGTGCAAAGCAGAGGCTGGCAAATCACGACACTTGCTCCTTGCTTATTAGGGTAATTGCCAGTGCCCTGTCATCCTGGCGGTTTATAGAAGAACCATGGAAAGCCAAGTAGGCAATGGGGGAACCTGACAGCTTTTTCCAGAAGCCAAGGGGAAAACAATATACGGGCGGGGTGGTTTGTTATGAACATACAGCACAGAATCAGAGAGCTGGAAGGGACCTCGGAGGTCTTCTAGTCCAGCCCCATGCTCAAGGCAGGAGACCTTATACCATTTCAGACAGGTGGCTGTCCAGTCAATTCTTAAAAACCTCCAGTGATGAAGCATCCACAACTTCTAGAGCAGGGGTCTTCAAACTTGGCCCTTTGATGACTTGTGGACGTCAACTCCCAGAATTCCTCAGCCAGGCACGCGTGCCTGGCTGAGGAATCCTGGGAGTTGATGTCCACAAGTCATCAAGGGGCCAAGTTTGAAGACCCCTGCCTTATACCATCCCAGTCAAATGATGAGTGTTGGGCACGGTTGGCTGAGGAATTCTGGGAGTTGAAGTCCACAAGTTGTCAAGTTTGGAGAGTCCTGAGCTAGAATATGAGAAAAAAAATAAATCTCATTTTGGGGGGCCTGTGTTGTTGAGTGTTGGCTGTGGCTTGTCAGATAGCTGCAAACCTCTGGAGGCTACCTTAGGTTTACCTGTTTGTATCTGCAGCGTGCAAGCATGTCCCGGTGAAAAAAAGGGAAAATGGGCACCTTTCTCTACTCAGGAGAAATTGCTCCCACGTAACGATGACACGGTACCTACCAGTTTATTCACCCGCAGCTTGGAGGAGTTGAATTTGAAAACGTCGATCTTTTTATCCAGAGGCTTTATTGTAAACTAGATGGGAAACAAAAGCAGCTTTGGGTACATTTCTTTTTCTTTCTCTCTTTTTCTCCTTCTCCTTCCCCCCCCCCCTCTCTCTCTCTCACACACACATACACACACACACACACACACACACACACACACACAAAACAAAACCCCTGTTCCACCTACAAAGGTTTTCTTGGGAGAAAAAGGAAATGCTCTAATTGTTGGCATTTAGAGAAAAGATCAGCATGGTTCATCTTACAGGGAAAAAAAAAGAAGTGATGTTCGCTTTGTCATTTAGCTGACAGTTGGAGAATGAAATGCTGTTTTTGATTCTGGCTCCCATGAGGGGAGAAACACCCCCCCCAACCCAAAATTAATCCCACATCTTGAATTTTCTGCCAACAATGGACAAAGAAAAGACATTTCAATTCCAGGCAACTGTTCAGCAATTCCTGTACTAGATTAAACACCTCCCCATGCGCCAAGGGCCCGTTCTTAAGGCTTCATCCCATCGTGTCAGATCTGTCTTGTGGTCACCTCATTGCAAGCCTTCATTGCCATGATCAAAGGCGACAGCAGCATCGCTTGAAAGACGGGCCTGTTAAGAGCTGAGGCAGAGATTTCCAGCTTTCTAGTGCTGCTGGGCTGGGGATTCTGACATTAAGAAGACCCAGGTCTCAATGGCTTCCTTTTAGTCTGTAGAATTATGCAAGCATGCTAAATGGGTATTATACAGGTTGTTAAGTGAAACACTCGATAAGTGAATTTTTACGACCTGTCTTGCTAGAGTTGTTAAGTGAATCCCAGCACTTGTTAATTGTTAAGTGGCTTCCCTATTGATGTGGGTTGTCAGAAGGTTGCAAAAGGGATCACATGACCCCGGGACACCGCAATAGTCGTAGGTATGAGTCAGTTGGCTTAGTAGCCCTGCGATTCACAGAATCTCTGCAGTGATTTTGCATAACAACCGTGGCAAAGAAGGTCATAAAATGGGGTGTGACTCCCTTTACAACCGCCTTGCTCAGGCGGTGGAAATTTTAGTCCAAACTGTGGTTGTTAATCCGAGGACTGCCTGTATTCCAGAGAGATGCAAGGATGTCTTTAAAAGAAACATCACCAATTCAGGGCTTAAGCATTCAGCAGCGTGAACGTTCCAAACTGGGACTTTTTTTTGCCAGCACTAGTTAGCATCTATCTCACAATCCTCTTCATCCTTTTCCCATTGCTAATGAAACAAGTGCTCTGCCTGTCTTAAAAAGGTCACCGATCCCCCACCAGTACACGAAGGCTGCTATTCATATTCCAAATTCGAAGCCTCTGGATTTTAAAGGCAGCACTCAGAAACTTCACTTTAAGTGCTGCTGGAGAGCCAGGACTCCAATTGTGCCGCTATACATAAACACAGTAGAAAGGGCAATTAGAAACCAGAGGAGAGAGCTGGGAAAGTGGGGTCAACTTAATTTAAGCACAGCCAGGAAACGTTCAATTCAAAATGGGAAGCCAGAGACTTATTTAAATACAGAGGGAGGAAGGAAAAAATTCAAAATCGATCCAAAATCGAGATGACCTCCGGAAGAGAGAGCTTCCGAACTTCCTTTATACGCTTTTAAGTTCCAGATTAATTTTTTGCACCCAGGACACCCTCCCTCCACGAAAGTGGGATTTCAGCCTAGCGTAACTACTGTGGAGATTTCTAAGAGATGAAATCCATGTACAGGTAGTCCTTAAGTTACAGCCATCCGTTTAGCAACCGTTCAGTTAGGACAGTGCTAAAAAAAGGGGGGGGGCTTTACGACCAGTCCCCGTGCTTATGACCATTGCAGCATCCCTGAGTCACGTTGACCAAAATTTGGGGGCTTGGCAGCTTGCAACCACAGTTGCAGCCTCTGTGGTTACGAGATCACTATTTGCAACCTTTCCAGCAGGTTTCTGATAATAAACAAAGTTATTGGAGGAAGCCAGATTCGCTTAACTGCACCCAAAAAATGGTCATAAAATCAGCCGTGAAGAGTGCACTCTTAATGACTCCACCACTCAGAAACTAGTCCTGATTGTGCTCTTAAATTGAGAAATACCTGTATTATTTGTTGTCTCAACGGCACCAACACAAGAGAAGGTTTCACATAAATTTTAACCAGGCAGGTGTTCAAAACCACGACCTAAACTATTGTTGCTTTCTACCGTGTTTATACAGCTCAGGCCTACCTCTTTGTCGCTGTAAGAGACATTGCGAATCTCATTCCAAGGAAAGGAGATTTTGGGGGTCAGCCTGTTTTCTGGATCATATATGTGGAGGCCCAACGCATCAACCCCCAGGAGCAGCTCTGTCCCCTTCTTGTTCTAAAAGGAAGGGGGGAAAAAGGGAGTGGGATGGGGAAGACTTCATTTCACTTGAAGCCGTGCAGCACATCAGGTACACGGATTGCACCTTAACTCTCTCCCACCTTGGCCCAGAGGTTCTGCTGCATTAACCTGGTTAAAAGGAGGAGGGGGAGGGGGAGGAGGGAGAGAGAGAGAGGAGCTTTCCAACTCCGTGTGTGGACCGCAGTGCCAGTGACTCATTTGTTCCCCTTCAGAAATCTCCTTCTGGCTTGCAGGTGAAGCTACAACGGAGAAGCCACGGAGCAGCACAGAACGCTTCTGAGCAAAGGGGACCAGGGTTCAGCTGCTGAGCCTGAATGCTCTGTTCCATTATAAACTACCCAAAGTAACTGCAAAGTAAATTCGCACGGTGTATTTCTAGACGTACTTACCCGGATGGCAAAGTAATTCACGCCGTACATCTCTAGATCCTGAGCTATTTTCAAGTACTCCATCTCTGCTTCATCCCTGCAAAGGGAGAGGGGTGTGAGAAGGAAGTTTTTAGGGTGGCAAACCTTTACCCAAAAAAGAAGAGAAAGCATCTGGCAGGCACCCAGGAACACAAATCAAACACGCTTCAGAGGTGCAGCAGATCCCATCATCTCTCCGAAGATGGAGACTTTTGTTTTCCAGCCAAGGTGACAAAGGTTTGCAGCAAAAGTTGAGGACTACCTGTATTTACTTGTCCCTTTTAAGTCACTCACCTGGCTCTTCCTCGGTGTTGGCCATACCAGGCTGTGATTCTTTCTTCCCACATTTCTGGAGTCATCTGGTAGAGATTTATCACCTAGGATAAAAAAGAACCTAAACTCAGCTCAACCTTGCCTGGCTATGAGTTTGTCTCAAGTGATCCGATATCACAATCCAAGTGTTTCTTAACCTTGGCAACTTTAAGGCACATGGATTTCAGCTCCCAGAATTCTGGGAGGTGAAGCCCACGTGCTTAAAGTTGCCAAGGCTGAGAAACACCGTCATAAATCAAAGCTGGATGAAGTTTGGAATTCAACCTTAAGAATCAGAACAGAGCTGGAAGGGGCCTTGGAGGTCTTCTAGTCCAACCCCTGCTCTATACTATTTCAGACAGGTGGCTGTCCAGACTCTTCTTAAAAAGCCTCCAGTGATGGGGCAGCCACAATTTCTGGAGGCAAGCCGTTCCACTGGTTAATTGTTCTCCACTGTTAGGAAGTTTCTCCTTGATTCCAGGTTGCTTCTCTCCTTGGTTAGTTTCCATCCATTGTTTCCTGTCTTGCCTTGCGGGGCTTTGGAAAATAAAGCATGTGGCTTTATTTATAAAATAAACAAATAAAGATGGGGGCATCGCTGTGTGAGCCACGTGCCTCAAACACGTGGCTCACTCAGCGATGTCCCCATCTTTCGGTTTGGTCACTAAGCTGCCCAATTGGAAAAGACGGTATCAGCCACATCATGCATTTTCCCCACCATGGCAGACCCCTTCCACTAGTCTCAGCTGAGCTGAGGGAGTGAGATCCATCGTGCTTACCCGTTTTGGAAGCAACTCCTCTTGGGCCAAGAAGCCGCGCTTGTGAACGCTGGGATCGTAGTCCCCATACTGCAAAGACAGAGGGGTTTCTGGGGTTAGAACGGTTGTGAGAATATGTGGACAGGTCCCCAAAAGAGCCCAGGTAGCTGCAGAATCCTTCTGGACCACTGGTGTCTTCTTTGTTAGGGAAGGTAAAGTCGTAGCCTATCAAAATATCCACAAATATCCCCGAACAGCAGAGAAAACTTGATTCTCCAGTCTCCTGCTGACATTATATTGTTCTCTCTGCGTTATGATAGCAGAAGTCCTTTTACCCTTGTATCCTTACAATACAGGAAGTCCTTGACTTACACTGGACCTCATAAAAAGGTACTTGGGACCCGGATCTGAATTATGACAGCAAGTTCCCCCTAAAGTCACATGGGCAACTGGCATAGCCCTTCCTGCAAACTCTGAACAGGACAGGTCAACGAGCTTCTTCCTCATCCTGCTACAAAATGGATGGTGCTCCGCCTTTCCACAATTAAGATTCTGTTTTAAAGAAGCTGGCCATTAAAAGGATCTTGTGCGCGGATTCATTTTTTAGCCAACGGACAAAAGCAGAGGGGCTCATGTTGCATTCGGCTCCTATCCAGCTAATTAAAACTGAAGAGGAAAGGAGGGGGGACTGCATTCAGTGGCTGTCTATTATGTAACTGATTCCACTTGGGGGGGGGGGGGGGAGAGAGAGAGAGCCAGACAGAGATAGCAAACCCCATCCTTTGAAATTCCTATTGAGCCTCCGCTGGTTCCAGCTCTGAAGCTTTCCTGGGATAACCCTTAAATCTTTGGAAGTAAATAAAACAGAAGTAGAGCAGTTCACATCAAAGCAATATTTATGGCGGGTCTGCAGAAGTGGAACACAAAAGAAAATGGCCCAGTAATGATCCGACTTCTTCTTTTCTTACGGAAAGGACAAGACTTGGGAAATTGATGGGACCTGCAGAAGAAAATGAACATCTAAGGCTTCACTAACACAAAGAGATAACCGTGGTTGGATTCAGAATGATGAAAAAGGTGGAAAGGAGGAGAAAAGAAAGGAATGGCTTCTCTGTTAAGTACAACCCTCCCTGCCTCCCTCCCCCCTTCGTATCCAGAGAGGCACAAGCTGTATTGTAGCACATTAGGTCTGAAAGAGGAGGTCCATCTACATATAATTACTCCTTCTGCAAGTTTGCTGGTTCCTAAAATCAATCTGCTGAGCTGGTTTGGTGTAGTGCTTAAAGGCTAGAAGCCAGGAGACGGTGAGTTCTAGTCTCATCTTAGGCATGAAAGCCACCTGGGTGACTTTGGGCCAATCACCAGGAGATGGTGAGTTCTAGTTCCACTTTAGGCATGACAGTTAACTGGCTGCAGTAATTCAGAATCTTCTTACTACCAGGATGTGGGATGACTTGCTGGTAATTTCCAAAAGTTTCTGCTTGTCTCTCTGCTCAGAGTCAGGGGCTTCTTGCAGATCAATTCTGGGAGTTGAAGTCTATGCATCTTCAAGTTGCTACGGTTGAGGAACACGGTTCTACTCTGTCTCAAAGGTGCTTTTCCCAAAAGGCAACTGGGCTTCCTTTCTTTTTCCTTGCAGACGTTTTGCTTCTCATCCGAGAAGCTTCATCCATTCTGACTGACTCACCACCATCCAGTCAGAACGGAAGAAGCTTCCGGGAGGAGAAGCGAAACGTCTTCAAGGAAAAACAAAGAGAGTCCAGTTGCCTTTTGGGAAAAGCACCTGTGAAGGCAACCACGTCCTGGATGATGGAGAATCTCCAGAGACACGGTTCCGCTCTCTTCTTCCAGAGTCAGGTCCAGCAGCCTACCTCTCCTGTCTAGCCTGACCACAGCGATGACTTAACATTGGCTTCTGTCTCGGTTCCAACAGGAAGCATTAAGAAATAAGCCCCCCCCCCCGGACCCTTTTACAGCTTCGGAGGGGAAGCCTCCATCCTTCCCTGTGGTGGGTTCTACTGAATGAACTTGACTGCTGTGTGAAGGACTTTCACTGAAGGCAAGACTCAGCTCGGGGGCAGGCGGAAGCCTTTCAGACAGACAGCCTGTCTGCCTGCCAAAAGCTCTTTTACCTAAATTGGGTTACAAAGTAGTACCGAATCATTATTCGTGAGAGTTCATGCAATCCATCATCAAAGACCGATACCCTTCAGATAGCCAGGGAAGCAATCACTTTGCATATTAAGCATTCAAGCCATGAGACACACACACACACACACACACACCACCGTTTGAATGGAACAGGACGGCCACCCCCAAGAAGTTAATACAAAGGAAGGGCGATATCTGGATTTTAGCTGTCTAAAACAAGCCGCAACGCCCTAAAGTCACCCGTGTACCAAAAGCCCAGATTATCGTGTGTATGCATAAGGTGGGACTAGAACTCCCAAACTCCTGGTGATTGGCCCAAAGTCACCCAGCCGGATCTCATGTCTAAGGCGGGATTAAAACTCACTGTTTCCTGGTGATCGGCCCAACGTCACCCAGCTGGCTTTCATGCTAAGGGAAGACTAGAACTCACCGTCTCCTGGTGACTGGCCTAAAGCCACCAAGCTTTTATGCCTAAGGCAGGACTAGAACTCACCATCTCTGGCTTTTCTAACCTGATGTCTTAACCATTAGCCCAAACAGGCTTTTGGTTAATGAAGATTAAAAGAGATTTTCCAAATGAATTGGGCTCCAGGTTCAAAAAGTTGGGACGAAGAGACAAAGCGGAACATAAATATTTCAAGAGATGCTGGGCTGAAAAAGCAGCTAACTTGCAAGGAGGAGAGAAAAAAAAACACCACGCAAAGCTTTTCAATTAAATCACTTTTTCAAGCACCAGGGAAACGGTTCTTCTCGAAAGAACACTGATTCATATTTATGTTTATACTTGTAGATTATCATTCTGTCACCCAGACATCTGCTTTTTCTTGTACCGACCAAAATTGTTTCCACTTGTATTTGAGATACCGTGGTGTGCGTTGGATTTTAGAAACAACAAATAAGGAATAGAAAGATTTTTGCCAGAACTGAGAAACTACCGAATCGAAGAGCCTGTAACGGGTTCACTTTTGAAGATGACTAAGAACGGGACTAGAACTCCCGGTCTCCCACATTCTAGCCTGACACCTTAAGCGCTCGAACCAAACTGGCCCTCATATTGATCGTTTTATTTTGTTAGTTACTGGTTTCTTGGAGCGAGTTGGGTGGCATACAAATTTAACAAATATTTAAATAAATGTCTACCCCTCCTTCTTGCAAGCAGCCCCGAGGGATGCAAACCAAATGCTGGACTAAGATGAGCCTTACCCTGGAACCAGTTCTCACGTCCTTTGTATGTTTTGTAAAAGAAGTGGCAAAAAGAAAAAAGGGAGGGAAGGGAGAAAGGTGCACTCAGAAATAATCACTTCGGAGTCCAACAGGTAGCAGCAACGAAAAGTCTGCCCCAGAAAGTGGCTTTTTGCCAATTAAAGTTGCTACACACACACACACACCCCGTCTCGCTCAAGGACATGATGTGCAGGGAGCAATAAAGCACAAGACAAATGCTCGTCCATGTGGATTAATAGCAGGTCACGCAATCAGGTGGGCGGGGGTGGCAATACAATATCCCTCTGTAAACCTTTATTAAGGGATTCATCCGTCCTCACTAGCCATTTCCACTCAACCCAACGCTGTGATTTTTAAGAGCAAAACCAGAGGTGCATTAGCCAGCCTGCGTAAACAGCAAAAAAAAAAAAAAAGGACACCGCTCATTAACAATGATCATTTATCAATATTTATGTCTCCACTGACAAGCGGCCTGGCCTGGTGTTTGTTCCACGGATGGAGGAGGAGATAAATGGAGGGGAAAGAGGAAGCCCTTCTGAAAATGAACAAGAACAGCTGTAAGAAAGAGGCTGCCCAGAAATTCACCACCTCTAACTTGGAAAGGACCACCCAAACCATCAAGATGTAGACCACTCTCAAGGGGGGGGGGGAAATACGACACCACCTGTATCCTGGTGGTGATACAATCTATGGAGCTTCTCTGTCATCCAGGTCATGGTTGTCCCAAAGGTGCTTTTTCAAAAGGCAACTGGACTTCCTTGGTTTTTTCCTTGGAGACATTTCGCTTCTCATCTAAGAAGCTTCTTCAGTTCTGACTGGGTGGTGGAGAATGGAAGTATTTAGGACGTAGGAGAACAAACCCATCAGGACAAGATTCAGCATTTGAAAGATAAAGGCCACTCTTTGGAAGACGGGTCAAAGAGGCAATCAATTCTGAATCAGAATAGAGCTGGAAGGGACAGTGGAGGTCTTCTAGTCCAGCCCCCTGCTCAAGCAGGAGACCCTATGCCATTGTGAGACAAGTGGCTGTCCAGTCTCTTCTTAAAAACCTCCAGTGATGAACTGGACAACTTCTAAAGGCAAGCCATTCCATTGATTAATTGTTCTCACTGTTAGGAAGTTCCTCCTTAATTCCAGGTTGCTTCTCTCCTTGATTAGTTTCCATCCACTGTTTCACGTTATAATTATATTATTATATTATAAATGATGAACCAGGCCTTACCTTGGCTTGCACAGCATAGGATGCTAGAAGGACAGATGCCTCTGGAGGACAATAGATCTTCTCATCCAAAATCTGTTTCTTTACCTGAACGAGGCAACAGAGAAATGCAAGCTGGTGAAGGGCTGAGCAGGTAGTCTCATGCCTCTTCAAAGCAGCTTCCAACCAGCCAGTTAATTATCAATTATAATTCTTAAGCTGCCATCCTGGATGTACACATATTACTAAGCCTCGCTGAACACTGAGGGATACATGCTGGGGTAAACACTCCTGCCCAGTTTCACCCTTTTAGAAATACAAGCTGCAGAACCAGGATGCAACAGGAATGTTTTGGGAGAACATTCCAGTTCTCCCAAAAGAGAACTTCCAAAGAGGTTGCACAGCTATGTTAAAACAGCATAAAACATGAACAGGTACAATGTGCATAATGAAAAACAAAACCTTCATCCGAGCACCATCTGAAAAGCAAGATTTTAAGGGATGCTAAGACAAAGCAAGCTGTATTAGGTGTCCCCCATCTAAATCGATTCTACTTTTATTTCACTATTCTTTTAACCACCTCTGCTCAGATACGGCTTAGCACAATCATCAATCTCATTTTATTCTCTCTGCCACAAATAGGGAACAGATTTTTTTTTCTTCTTCCCCGCAACATGGTTTGAAGCCTGATCTGCTCTAGTTTCTAATACATATGTAAATTAAAGATTTAATATATTCTTAAGAGCTCTTTAGAAATGCATAGCGTACCTCTAGGAAAGGAAAAACCAAGCTTGTTTTGGCTGGGTCTGTCCTTTTTTTTTTTAAGTATTTTAATTGTTTTTTTTTTAATACCAGAGAGCATTTGCAATATCCTGGCAGGAACATAGTGACTTAAAGAACTGGGGCCAGAATATCAGTGATTTTGTTCTAAGCTCCAATTAAGCTTGGATTGTATTTATTTGTTAGACCTCAGATAACATCAAGGCAGTGTTATATGCCACTTATTAACCCAAGATGTTTGTAGATACATATGGATTCCCTTGCATAAGTTGATTTTTTCCAGATGTTGTATCATGCACTCTGTACAAATATAAAAGTTTCCATCCGTTGCTTCTTGTCCTGCCTTCAGGTGCTTTGGAGAATAAGTTGTTCCCCTCTTCTTTGTGGCAGCCCCTCAAATATTGTAACACTATCATGTCACCCCCTACTCCTTTTCTATAGACATCCCCAATTCCTGCAATTGTCCATGTTTTATCCTCCCTTAATCATCTCTGTTGCTCTTCTCTGCACTCTTTCTAGAGTCTCAACATCTTTTTTATATCATGGCGACCAATACTGTATGCAGTATTTCAAGTTTGGTCTTACCAAGGCATTATAGAGTGGTATTAACACTTCACGTGATCTTGATTCGATCCCTCTGTTAATGCAGCCCAGCACGGTGTTGGCGTTTTTGGCAGCTGCCACACACAGATGACTCATATTTAAGGGATTGTCCACTAGGACTCCGAGATTCTTCTCACAGTTATTACTGTTGAGCCAGGTACCACCTATTCTACACTTGTGCATTTGGTTTTTCTTGCCTAAATGTCAAACCTTACTTTTCAATGCAATGGTTACGATGTTTGATTAGAATTAAGGAGATGTAGGCTCAGATTTCCCCTTAGCCACAGAAGCTCCCTTAACAGCTAACTTGTCCTATAAAGCTGTTCTTGTGAAAAAAAGTAAACGTTGTGAATTTTGCCTTGAGCTCCAGGAGGAAAAAGTGGATACAAAACGAAGAAAACAAACACAGCGATAAATAATGTGGATTGTCTGTTAGAGGAAGCCGTGTAATCGGTGAGACTCAAATGTTATGTATCAAAAGGCAATATCCATGTGTCTCGCACACTGATAGCCTTCATCATTTACAGATTTCAGATTTACAGCTGGGAAGAAAAAGAAGATAAATTCAGCCAAGGGTCTCCTTGAAACACAGGAGGCCTGGTGCAAAGGCGAGATTTTCTGAAATTGTGGTTGTTGACCGATTGTGTAGGTTCCCCTTGAAAACAAAAGGAACAATCCTATTAAATGAAGATGGCTTCAGACCTATGTTTGACCCTCGTCCGGCCAAGTTCCATTAATCTAGATCCACCAATCTAGCTTGGGTCCTCCAGATGTGTTGAAGTCACATAAATATAGCCAGGTTTTTCAACTCCGGCGGCTTGAAGTTGTGTGAACTTCAACTCCCACAATTCCCTTCAATTCTGGGAGTTGAAGTCCACATGTCTTCAAGCCGCCGAGGTTCAGAAACCCTGGTTTATAAGGTAGGGAACCAAATGTGCCATCTCACAATAGAAACACAATTCCTTTTGTACAGGAATCTCAACCTTTGACGTCCCATGTCCCCTGCTATTTCCAAATACTTCTGTTCTTCCCGCCAAAGTGGAAACCGTAACCTGAAAATGCACCTCTGGAAGCTGGGCAGGTATTAGTCCCCCTTATAAAAGGCCTCACCTGTAGGAAGAACAGATGCTGGGTGATTTCCTGGACCAGCTCTTCTTCTGCATTCTCTGGGTAGAACTTGGCCAGGAAGTGAAAAGTAACCGGCTCCTCCTTTGGGACATCGTGGTCCAGCACCTGCAGAAGGAGACCTCCGATGAAGCTCTCCAAATCTCCCAGCGTCTATCTTTTATTACTGCTGCTCTCTTCAGCCATGGAAAGACAGCAGCTGGTTGGCTTCACGCATGGTTTAGGGAACAAGCCACCATCAGCAGGATGTAATAAACCATAAACCATGGCTTAAAATCACAACCATCTCCTCAAATCCAGAAACAAGTGAGCATCCAGCATCTTGCTAGGCAGGGTCAGTTCTGGCGAGTCTGACACTAATGCACAAGCAAGCAAGCTACAGGTAGCCCTCGGCTTATGACTGTCAGGGGCCTGCCCATCAGTCACAAGTAGTGATGGTCATAAAGCAGGTCACTCAGGTGGCCATCCTGATTTTATGATCCCCTTTGGCGAACTTCTGACTTAACAACTGCAGCGATTCACTGAACAGAAGTGGCAAGGAAAGTCCTAAAGTGGGGCAAAACTCACTTAACAAATTCCTCACTTTGCCACGGAAATGTGGGACTCAGCTGTGGTTATAAGTCGAGGACTTACCTGTACTGGGTTTTTTTTTTTTATTATTTGTAAGCTGCCTAGAGGCGCTAAGAGCCAGTAGGCGGCTATATAAATTTTCCAAAGAAAGAAAGAAAGAAAGAAAATTCCCGTTGATCCGCCTCGATCTAAAATCAGCCCTGGCCACCATCTGCCATCTTTTCTTTGCTCTTCTGTTAAAGTTTGTTACTTTCAGAGGCTCCAAAGACACAGAATCCTTACTAATTAGGGAGCGGCAGCTGGACGTGAACGCACAAGGTGCTCGTGGTGACCACAAAGCACAATGTCGCCTTCCACAGATGCTCCGGTGGACACCGAAGAGTCTCATTAGCCTGTGCAGACGTGTCCAATTAGAGGAGCTGACATTGAGGGCATCTCCTAATATTAAGGCGTCTGGGATCAAATGTTACCCAATTCCGGCAGCTTGAAAACAGACCAAGGTGCGGCACGTATTCGCTGCTCCTCCAGGTAGCTCCCAAAACTGTTTTATCCATTCCTTGGGAGACTTTTTTGATTGTGGTCGGTAAGAACCGATGGTTACAATTTCTCTGCCCTTTTGAGGTGGGAATTTTGTAAGCTACTAAAATGCTGTCTCCATGCACATGCAAAGAAAGAACCCATGTTTGCCTTAAGCCATCATGTAGTATATGGCTTATCGCCATTCAGCTGTTGTGGTTTGCTGAATCCACCCAGGATAATCATGGTTTAATGCTATGTATAATGTTGGAGACCTCTGGACATTCTGGATATTCATGCTTTGAAAGGGGAAGGCAGATCCTTACCTTCTTGTCCGTTTTGAGCCAGGCTATTGTGTCTTTAATCATGTACTGCAGTCCGAAGAACCATGTTTCACGGAGTCCCAAAGTCCTACACACCAGGTCAAAGAGGTCCTTTCCTTTCCATTTCACCTGCACCAGGAAACAAAAGTTAGAAGATCCTCTTCTGAAACCAAGTTGCTTTCAGTTTGTTCTGCCGGGACAAAATTTCTGCTTCAAAATAATTTGATGAGTTTTGAAGCAGTCAAGTGCCAAGGTATGACTCTACTACACAACTCTGTGTCATCCTTTAAGAGAAAGATGTAACAGTTTGATATGACCAGAATGAACATTAAATCTTAGGCTGACCGTATGTTTTTTTTAACCCCAATGCTGAGGATGAATCAACATAACCATCTAAGAAGAGTATATATCATAATCAGGAAAATTAATTGTAGTGGCAAACAAACATTAATAATAAGTCAATATTTAATTATTAAAATGACCGTGGGCTGGAAAAATGGAGCAGGAGTGACTTCTGATTTCCTGCTGGTTTCCCCACTGAGTTTCCTTGTGGGAAGACAGCAGGGAGCACTGGGAATCACGATCACATGATTGCGGGGACATTGCAATGGCTACGACTTGTGAATAAAAGTAGTCTAAATTTTGGGGGAATTTCCATTTCACAGGAGTTAGGGCTCCTATATGCGGTACATCTGTCTTCCCATCTGTTCAGTCATTATTAGTGCTAGAAATTTCCTGAAGGCGAACACATGTATTGGTGAGGACCCTCTAAGACAGTGGTTCTCAACCTGTGGGTCGGGACCCCATTTGGGGTCGAACGACCATTTCATGGGGGTCGCCAAACAAGGCTGTCTGCCATTTTTTCCCCCTTTTCTTTGGCCACCCCCTGGCACCCGGTGATGTATAAGTGGTTGGGGGTCACCACAACATGGGGAACTGTATTATGGGGTCGCGGCATTAGAAAGGTTGAGAACCACTGCTCTAAGACTATCTTCAACAAGTTGCCCAGTTTCCACCACTACATCCGGAAGCCTTAGCCTGCGCTGTATTTTATTAACCTCTTTCTGCACAAGAAACAGATCCATCTTATCAGCAAAATGCAGGTGAGGAAAAAAAAAGTCCTCTGCAGGTAGAAAACATGATTGCATTATCCTGCTTCACCTTATCTAGCAGGGCATACATTTAAATCCCTGTTTATGTTTCAGGTGGGTAACCTCCATCCAATATACACAGGTGTCAATGAACACATCCATAGTTTAAGGCATGCGAGAGAAGAGCAGTGTAAAGGAAATGCTGCGGAAATATGAAGATAGGAAAACTAACCGAGTTATTGCTTTTCTTCAAAGCTGAGCTCCTACAAACTATGTACTAGATACATAGAGCATAGAATTACAGAGTTGGAAGGGACCTTTGAGGTCTTCTAGTCCAACCCCCTGCCCAAGCAAGAGGTCTTTCAGACAAGGGGCTGTCCAGTCTCTTCTTAAAAACCTCCAGTGATGAAGCACCCACAAGGTCTGGAGGCAAGCTGTTCCACTGGTTAATTGTTCTCACCGTTAGGAAACTTCTCCTTACTGGTAGTTTTTAGGTTGCTTCTCTCCTTGATTAGTTTCCATCCGTTGTTTCTTTTCTTGCCTTCTGATACACAACAAGGAAGCATCAGAAGGCAAGAGAAGACACGTTGAGATGGGGAAGCAATTTACAAATGTTTCTAAATGCTTAACGTTAACTTGGTCGATTCTAAATGATTCACAAAGCCAAGGGTTTTTGGTTTTTTTTGCTAAAGCCACAGTCCTTCAGAACAGAGGTCCCCAACCTTTTGGGCACCAGGGACCGCTTCCGTGGAGAGAGGTTTTTCCACGGACTGGAGGGTGCGTGGTTTTGTGTGCTGCCTTGCATCCCGCGGATGGGGCTTTGCTTGTTTGTGCGGACCGGTTGCTGGCATGCTGTGGTTGGGGTTGGGGACCCCTGCTTCAGAGGAATGCAGATCGTTTTATACCTCACTAGGACCTGAAACACTGCTTAGGAAAGAGCGGGATGGGGGGGGGGGACCACAATTGCATGAAAGCAAAGAAGTAAATGCAGGAGTCCAGAGGCTTCGAAACCAGGCAAGAGTCCTAGGTTTTGGCATAGCATTCCTCTCCCCCCCCCCCCCACCCCTCTTCAACAGGATCACCTGCATAGCATCAATATTCATCCTGAAAGGTGATTTGGCTTGTTCTGCTTTAGTGTTATTCAATGCCCGGCAGTTGTTATCACACACCGCCCCCTGGCGACAACTTCTGGCTGCAAAAGGGCGAAGAGGGTTCCCGTCTCACCCTTTTTTGTCCTCCCCCCCCCCCCGTGCAAAAAGAACACAAGGCTAAAGAATCCAGGCTGCTCAGAGTCCCCTCGAAGCAAGATGGGCAGCAAACGAATCAGATCAAATCAATTAAAAAAAGTTATCTGGAGAAAAAGAAAAGGGAGAATTAAGACCAAGAATCTCGGCCCAAATTCCTACTTTGCAGTAATTTAAGGAGCAATAAACTGAAGGGCTAAGTCCTGCTCCAGGACCTTCCTGATGTGCTAGAAGAGGAACAGAACAATGAGGTTGAACAGCGTTCCCACGTGCAAAGAGGGACCTGCAGAAGAGATGTTGAGACTCTAGAAAGAGTGCAGAGAAGAGCAACGAAGATGATTAGGGGGCTGGAGGCTGAAACATATAAAGAATGGTTGCTGGAATTGGGTCTGTCTAGTCTAAGGAAGAGAAGGACTCTGGTATCCTGAGAGGAGTGTTCTAATATCTCAGGGGTTACCCCAAAGAAGAGGGAGTCAAGCTATTCTCCAAAGCGCCTGAAGGCAGGACAAGAAGCAACGGGTGGAAACCAATCAAGGAGAGAAGCAACCTAGATCTAAGGAGGAATTTCCTGACAGTGAGAACAATCAACTAGTGCTTGCCTCCAGGGGTTGTGGGTGCTCCATCCCTGGAGGCTTTTAAGAAGAGACTGGACGTTTGTCCAGAATGGCACACGGTCTCCTGCTTGAACAAAGGGTTGGATTAGAAGACCTTCCAACTCTGTTATTCTGTTATCCACCAGAGTATCCCATTGTGCAAAAGCGGCACCGTGCTTTTTGCAAAGGGGTTTGTACACAACCTGCTACTGCGGCACCAAAGGCTGAATTCACACTTCACATGGCTAAACTGTCGGGTGGGGGGGGGAGGCTTAATAAACCGTGGCTAAATAAACCACAATGAAGGCCATTGTGGGTGCACCTAATTCAGCACTGAGAACGCAAATGCATCTGTTTGCAAACGGCTTGAGTTAATTCCCTTTGCTCATGTCCGGCTCTAAAAAAATGGCGAGAAAGCATGGGATACTGGATTGATATTCCTCAAAGGAGGTTTGTTTCGTACTAAGGTACCCCCTACACCTCTGTTGGCAGTGTTTCCTCTCCCCCCTCCCCCAGTAAAGTCTTGTCTTTACTGTCATGGCTCTAAAGGGAAAGATTGACAAGCGAAGAGGCAGACCACAGACGACGGGGATGCTCAGGCAGAGGAAAGGCTTTGCATCCACAGATGCAGTCCGGTACCCAGAGGAATCGGTGCTTTCAAACTCCAGCTGTGCTTTGCTCGGAAGGACAGGGAGGGGAGGGCCCCCTTCCCTCCCTCCCTGGAATTCGACCCCCTCCCTCGCCCAAATTCAAGCCCAGCCTGATTGCAAATGAAGTGCCGTGTTATGTAAGCTGCTGCAAAGTCTTTATAATTAAGTTCGGGGAAAACATTAAAATGCTGCAGTTCGAGGGGACCGAGAAAGTGGGGTGGGGAGAGGGAAAAAAAAAAAAAACAACCCAGGGAAGCCCATTGTGTGTTTTGCCTTGAATTGCAAGACAGCAACCGGGCCCAAAATGTTCTGGGGCTAAGCAAGGCGGTGGGGAAGTGAGTTTTGCTACATTTGGAGGCCGTTTGTTTGTTTGTCTGTTTGTTTATTTGTTTGTTTTAGCCACAACTGTTAAGCGAATTCCCTGCAGCTCTTAAGTGACTCTGGCGTCCGATATTGTTGGAAGCCAAGCTGGGCTGAGCTGGGAAAGTACAAAATGGTGGCCACGTGACCCCCAGAACAGGGCGTGCAATTGGTCACAAAGACACGCCAGTGTCCAAATATCATATGACTGTGGGGATACTGCAACGGTCTTAAGTCCCTTTTTCCAGCCTTGATTGTAACTTCGGGCGGTCCCTAAATGAATAGTTGTAAGTTGAGGACTTAACTGTGTGTCCAACCTTTTTCCAGACCTCAGAGCACGTCCTTATTTGTCAGACACTTCTAACTGGCATCTCTATGATTCCTAAGGTTATTAAGCTTCAGGCTTGCTCATCAGTGGAATAAGGTCCATTTAATGGCCACGGAGAGATGGCTCCGAGTTGGAGCTTTGCAAACCAATTTTCTTTTTTTGCAATTTAATTACCCGACCTAAGATCAAACACCGATTCTCTCCTTCCTTGGATTCCATTCTTTTGACACTCAGAAAAGGACCAGGTAAACAGATTTTTACACAGCCAAAACAGATGAATGGGAAATTTAGCAAATGTTAGCTATAAGAGCCATGGTGATGCAGTATTGCTAGCTAACTCACTGCTCGCTGTCAGGAGTTCAATGCTGACCGGCTCAAAGTTGACTCAGCTTTCTATCCTTCTGAGGTCAGTAAAATGAAGACCCAGATTGTTGGGGGGGAAGGATGCTGATTCTGTAAACCAGGGGTCCCAACCCCCAGTCCGTGGACTGGTACTGGGTTGCAGCATGCCAGCCACCGGACCGCACAAACAAGCAAAGCCCCATCCGTGGGATGCAGGCAGCACACAAAACCACGCACCCTCTGGTCCTTTCTCCACGGAACTGGTCCCTGGGGACCTCAGCTGTAAACCGCTTAGAGAGGGTTGTAAAGCACTATGAAGCTATATATAAGTCTAAGTGCTAGTGCTATTATCCAGAACGATTGGGAATTTTGGGAGCTGTAGTCCCAGTCAATAAAGGCCAGGGACAGATGGACAGAATCTGCCAACAGAGATATTCCAAATCAACCTGACAAATTCCAAATGCACCAGACTACAAAGCCCGTCAGCCTGTCCTGCTCTCCCTCCCTTGCCAATGTGGCCT